CACATTGACTAAGATGGTTAATTCAATGCTAATCATATCTGGTCTACCTACCTTCTATTAGGGAGAGGCTTTGTTGATGGTAAACTCGATTCTAAACAGAGTACCCTATTCTAAAACTAATAATACTCCTCATCAGTTATGGTTGGGATATCCAGATTCTTTGGATAGTCTCAAAGTGTTGGGGTGTCTAGCATATGTTCGAGTTTTAGATATCAGAAGGCCTAAGCTCGGACCAAAGACAAACAAGTGTGTGTTTCTTGACTTTGCTGAAGATAGCGATGCTTGCAGGTTCCTAGACCTTAGAACCAACTCCGTCATTGAAGCTTAGGATGTAGAATTCTTTGAGGATAAGTTTATCAATGATAAAGGTTTATTGCTCAAAGATATACTAGTGAATGTCGGTACGTCAGATGCACCAGAGGAGCCAGTTTCATGAGAAACTAAAAGTGTCAATGTTGAAGTTACCGAACCACCTTTCAAGCGTTTCAGGAGATAAAAAGATTTTGGAGATGGTTTCATTACCTATAATGTGAAAGGAGATCCACAGACTTTCCAAGAATCAATGTAGTCAACAAACACTCTTCTGTGGAAAGAAGCTATAGATGATGAGATGGATTCATTGATCCAAAATCATACTTGGGAGCTGGTGAATGTATTTGAAGGTGAAAGGCTTATCAGTTGCGAGTAGATCTTCAAGAAAAAGCTTCGTCTTAATGGTACTATTAAGAAGTACAAAGTAAGACTGGTGGCGAAAGGATTCTCTTAGAGAGAATGAATAAATTTCTTTGATTTCTATACACCAGTTTGCAGGATCACTACCATCAGAGTGCTTATCGCATGGGTGGTGATAAAAAAGTTTGTCATACATCGGATAGATGTGAACACTGCCTTTCTCAATGGAGATCTCACAGAAGAGATCTACATGGAGAAATTAGAAGGATTTGATGCTCCAACTGGTAAAGTTTGTAAACTTGTTAAGTCTCTATATGGACTTACGCAGACACCAAAACTCTGGCATGAGAAGTTTGATGGGGTTGTTCACAGTAATAGGTATCAACTCAGTGAATCTGACAAGTGCCTATACATCAAGGTCGCTGAAGAAAGGTGGTGGTCATCTGTCTCTATGTGGATGATATGCTCATCATCGGAAGTGATTTAGAAATAGTAATATCTACCAAGAAATTTCTCTCAGCACAGTTCAGCATAAGGACCTTGGAACTACGGACGTGATTCTCGGAATCAAAATCATATACTCTGAAGAGGGTATTGGATTGTCTCAATCTCATTATGTGATTCTCGGAATCAAAATCATATACTCTGAAGAGGGTATTGGATTGTCTCAATCTCATTATGTCGAGAGCATGCTAATGAAGAGGGTATTGGATTGTCTCAATCTCATTATGTCGAGAGCATGCTAAGAAAGTATGGCTACTACGATCTATCAGAACTGTTAGTACTGTATGATTACAACAAGGAGGTTCGACCAAACACTGGAAGACCAGTAGATCAGCTAAGGTACTCAAAGATCATTAGGAGTCTTATGTACGCAATGATCTGCACAAGGCTAGACATAGCATTCATTGTAGGAATGCTTAGTAGGTTCACAATTAATCCTGAAAAGCTTCATTGGGATGCTGTCTAGAGATTGATGAGATACTTCAAATGAACTACATGTTTGAGCCTATTCTACATTGGATATCCGGCTGTAATCGAAGGTTATTTAGATGCAAGCTGGTGCTCAGAATCAGATGAGTACAAATCTGCTGGAGGTTTTGTCTTCATTATGGGTAGAGTTGTTGTCTCGTGGAAGTCTAAGAAGCAGACTATGATTGCACAGTCATCGATGGAATCTGAGTTCTTTGCACTTTGTGCTGCAGGAGATGAAGCTGAGTAGTTCAGTTGTTTTCTCCGATACCTTCCATTGATAGAATTGCAAGTCGTAATAACTATCTATTATGATAATCAGGCGGCGAGTGCTGTGACAGCGAACTTGATATTCAATGAAAAGAAGCAGACCATTCGTCTGAAGCATGGCTATTTGAGAGAACTTATTTTTCAAGAAGTCATCTCTGTGAGTGATGTCCGGTCTTCAGAGAATATGGTTGATCCTTTGACTAAAGGTCTAAAAAAGGATATAGTCGAAAGGATGTCTGCTGGAATGAGTCTCAAAGTTTGGTGAGTCTTACAAATACTTACCATTTACATTAAGTTATTAGTTCAAATCTTACACTACTAATGATAAGATGATTAGTTCAAAAGTCAAGTAAGATTTGCAAGTAAAATCCATGGGTCTCAAAGTTTGGTGAGTCTTACAAATACTTACTATTTATATCAAATTATTAGTTCAAACCTTACGTTACTAATGATAAGATGATTGGTTCAAAAGTCAAGTAAGATTTGTAAGTGAAATCCTATCATAGTAAAGATGATGACTGTTAAGCCTTAATGAGTCCAAAGCATTTCAGATGCGGGCTGCTGGATAGGTAACATGCCTATAGGACTCACCGATGATCCTATCATGTAAAGGGGATGGCTATTAAGCCTTAATGAGTCCAAAGCATTTCAGATGCGGTGTGTTAGATAGAAAGCACGCCTAAAGGACTCACCTAGAATCCTATCATGAGAGAGGATGACTCTTAAGCCTTAATGAGTTCAAAGCATCTCAGATGCTGGATGTTTGATAGGAAAAATGCCTAAAGAACTTACATATGCATGGCGAAGATTTGGTCGTCTCCTATGGTCTCTTTTGGAAAGATGCCTAGGGCCCTAGCAGAAATTAGGACATGCACAGGGCCATAAATGTGCAAGGCTAAGGTAAAGGCAAAGGCAAAGGTAAGTGTGGTTAAAAGTGAAAACTACCACAGATGAGTTTGATCTTGTGTGATCGTTGAATTTTTAGATATGTGCTGGTTCAAGTCTCTACGATACCATGCATCTATCTTTTATTCAGTTGGTCTAAGGAGGATTCAAGTCCTTGAGACATCTACCTTATGCACAACGATTGAAATAACGACACCGTTACACGACACTAGTTTAAAAACTTGTGGGGGATTGTTGGATTTTTTGGTCAAAACCACTTTCGAAAAATGAGTTTTCAAACTATATAGTTATTAACTACTGGTATTTTTCAGAAATCCTTAGTAGCGTAGTGGAAAGTAAAAGTTTTGGTGTTTCAAAAGGTCCTGAGTTCGAGGCTTGCCGTAGGTAAGCCGAGAATTGTTTTGTCTTAAATAAATTAATTAATCCCTCATAAGTACTAGTGGGTCATGGACAGTGGGTCGTGGGCTCGTGGGCTCGTGGGCCATGGACAGTGGGCCAATGGGCCATGGATCGGGACTAATCGGGCTGAGGGCTAAGTGGCGCTTTGTAAGGCGCACTTCGCACGTATGCATCAGGACTAGGTGGCGCCATGTTAGCTGCCACGCAGGCTGCTTCGTAGCATGCAGGCGGGCTTCGCGTTCGCAGGTGGCCCTCGTGTTCGTGCGAGGGTGCGACCCATGTGTTTATGAGAGGAAACATGACCCTCGTGTTCGGGCGAGGATGCAACCCTCGCGTTCACGAGAGGGAACGCGACCCTAGTGTTCGCGCAAGGGTACGACCCTCGTGAGGCGTGACGCGACCCTCGCGTTTGCGTGAGGGTGCGAGCCTCGTGTTCGTGAGGCGCAACGCGACCCTCGTGTTATGTAGAAACGCGACCCTCGAGTTCAGGCGTTACTGCATGCAGCAGTTACAACAATTAAGTCATTTGTTGTTATAATTACAATTATAATTATTGTTATGATTTGTAATAGTCAAATTGACTATGGGTGACCCTTGAGCTGGCCTTTGAGGCCTATAAATAGTGCCCCCTTGGAGCAGTTCTTGGTGAAGAAAAAAAACACACTGAAGTATTGTAAAACTTGAACGGATTGAATCTGTTAAGCTGTTGTGCTGCTGCAGAGTTTAAAAGCGTGCAAGCTTTAGTCTGTGCCCGAAGGAACATAGTCCTGAACCGAAAGGTTACAAAATGAAAGATCTTTGTCTGAACCTAAAGGTTATTACAGATCGAAAGATCATTGCCTAAACCGAAAGGTTTTAACAAATCGAGGAGATCGTTGCCTTGACTGAAAGGTCTTATAGATCGAGGAGATCTTGACGGTACTTGGTTGGTACACACCATTGTACTGTACTGTTGTTCCTGGAAGCAGTTTGGCATTGGGATCCTTGCACCAGAGTAGACCGAATATTGCTTTAAGCATAGCGTTTCATAAACGTACAACAACTAACTTGAAAAGGTTTTAAAATATAGCACTTCAGCTTTCTTTCAGTTCTCTCTGATTTATATCTGTTTTATTCCAGATTTAACCACAGGCACTAACATGTCTTTGGTTATTTTGACAAGAACTATGGCTTAAGCCATCTATTTGCAAACACTGTACTATCTGAAATGGATTATAATTGACTAGATTTACTAAATATTTTGGGTTATGACTCGCTTGATTTATAATCTATTTGTGGATTATAATCCAAAGTTGCCAAACATACTCTATGTATAGTATTAAGAACTTTACACATAGACTCATCGATTTACAAACAAAATTTTTCTCTCTATTATATGTACTTTTACTGTAGCATTGTATGTTCAACACTTCAAGAGAATATAATCTTTTTGCGACAATGTGAGAGGACCTCTTTACAACAAATTGATGTTACCTGACACCTACGTAATTGGTACAAATAACGGAGAGAACTACTTTTGAATATCAGGGGGTTCAATGTTATTAAAAAAAGCTAATTAGCAATTACATACCTTTTATTTCCCTTACTATTACACTTATATACCCTCATTATCTTCGGCAACAATTTTTTAAGAAATTTTTTACCTTATAAACCTTTAACGAGTACTAGATTCACATTGCATACAAGTGGTGGTGTTTTTATACCAGTTACAAGCCAAACAGCTCCAAAACTTTGAGCACCAAAAAATCACAGTGTCTGCTGCCTTTGAAAGACATTGGAAATCAGTACAATCAATCTTGATACTCCCATTAAAGCAAAATCATGGCAAACAATAGAATTACTGTTGCACTAAATTTTTGGAAACTGCTCGATAAAGGAAGAAATTTTGAATTTTCACAAGACATATAACATAACATTCCATGAAGCCAAGCTTCCGCTCACTTAAAAAAATGGCTCTTTTGCAGATAGCCATCATTCTAGAGTTCTTAAATACGGTTGCAAGAAATGAGTGCGAAGAAAATGGAGATCCAGGCTACTTTTACAAGTCGAATTGCACTTTCAGAACTGAAGACCATGCTCTCGAGCAGCAGCTGCAAGGGCTTCTATGCGGCCATGGTATGGATATCCGCCCCTGTCAAAGGCCACCTTAGTTATTCCTTTGTCTGCGCAAGCTTTGGCAATGGCTTCACCTACTTTCTTCGCAACCTCCTGTTACCAGAAATTTGAGGAACTTAAGAAGTCGAAATCAAAATTATGTCACTTTATAATTCTGGAATTTCATACAATCAACAAGTACTTGCTTACTAGCATGCATCATCTTTGCATTATACTATGAGAAAGCAGATCAAACTCTGATTGTGAAAAAAAAAAAGCGAGTTCAGAAATAGAAGGGTGTGAGATAAATAACAACATTCTTATCTGATTGTTGACCCGTTAAAACTTGCTCGCTTGAATTGCTAATATAACATTTCTAATTCCCGCCTAAGGGTTTGAGGTTGGAATAACGGAACAGAATACTAACTAACATAATGACCTGCAAGACTTCTCTATAACATGAATGCAGGGAAGAAATTATCAAGAAAGGACTACTCCCAGTTATACACTTATAATAAACAAGTCCTCAAGTATATGAGAGATATAAGGTGCCAATCTCCTTTTTGCATATATATTCCATTATTCTTCAGAAAATTCCTTATTACTATCTTTCTGCACTTACATGGCTAAATACATTTTGACGATAAGAGGAGACTGTAGTGACGATAGAGTATGAAAAGGGAAAAGATTCTGAGTGCAATACAAATTGACAAAGCTGAAAATAAGGCATGAAAGAGGAAAAGAGAAGGGAAAAAAGAAAGATATTGCAGAAGAGATACATCTACCATTCATTGGATTCTATCTCCAAAATCAAATGTATGCATGCTTCTAAAACCTGTGAGTGTCCTAAAGTACAAAATTTGTGTGTGTGTGTGTGTGTGTGTGTGGTCGAGGGTGTGTCGTGTAAAGAAGAGATGAGATGATCAGGTGTTAAATCTCACGCCTGGTATACACTTTTAAGGAACAAAAACTATAACTGAACTCTTTGATTGACGTACTTTGACTGTTTGGCTAATGCATTGATTCAAAAATGAATTCAATTCCCTAAAATAAATTCTGCTTGCGCAATTGTCAGTCTCCCTTTTGTCTAGAATTTCCATCTAGGTTAGAAACCCAAACTGCATAACCAATAAGGTGATATTCCTAATCACCAACAGGACCACTCTATGTACTATGGAAAGCCCATTCCATTTCTGATAGTTATCTTTGCTAGAAAGTTAGACCAAAATTCAGAAGGCTACTGTTACATTAACACCTGGTTATAAATTTCTACTCGCCAACAGGACCACTCTATGTACTAATACTCTGGAAAGCCCATGTCTTTTTTGATAGTTATGGAAAGCCCATCCCCTTTAGGATAGTTATCTTTGCAAGATAATTAGACCAAAATTCAGAAAGCTACTATGAAATTAACAGCCAGTATGAAATTTCGGGTGATACTTTAGCGGAACCTTCCTCGATTTAAGTTGTGAATACACAGGAAAAGTTTAGACGACAACAATGGTAATGGTAGCGGTAATGGTGATGGAGACAAATACCGTGCATGAACCCACTGATACTAGACAGAAAAGAGTAAAACTGCGACAAATATTTTCAAGCAAGTTTTAATTCTTTCAATAATTTAAGAAAGGCACACACCCTATCATTTCCTACGTAACAATCAATACTTGATGCAGGTAATTCCAACCATCTCCTTAATACCAATTCAATACCAATTCCCCCAGATCACCTAACTACTACATTCATTCTACCAAAATCACATTGGGAAAGTTTGGCACCTATGTAGTTCAGGTTAGTTTGGCACCTACGTAGTTCAGGTTTTGTCTACCCACCTTTTGTTTTAGAATTTCTTTCACCAGGGTTAGGAAAGGTTTTGAGGAAAGTGATTTTCTATAAATATTATCATGTGCTGTCCCTTAGAGATGAACATGATTTCTTCTAATGAATTATATTACATTCCATTTATGTTTGTACTCTTTTCTATAAATATTATCTTAGCACATATCCATGTCCATTGTTATAATAATTGCAGCCTCTGCTTTTGAGTTATTACTAACGAAGCCATTAAAGTCATCGTTTATTTATCACAAAGGTGCAAATATTGAGTAGACCCTCTAGACTCAAATCATTTTCCTAATTTAAGACACTGAAAAGCTGTGTCCATAGCTGACAATCACGTCTCCTCGTATTAGGATCTTTGCAATGAGTAAAGAGTCCAATGTAAGCACTTTTCGAACTTCTCCCAAGCTAGAAACGGCATAAATATATAAGCTGCTAACGGAATAGTGACAAAGGATAAAGATTTGAGGTCCAGATATTATTGTGAAGTAATAGGGTTGGATGACCTAAGCAGCACCATGATTTCTAAGTCACTAGAACAGACCTTTTCATATAATATCAGTGTGAAATGCAAGTGAGCAAGCGAGCGAGTGAGTGTGCATGTGTCCGCGTGTGTGCGCGTGCGTGCATGCGCGCGCGTATGTGTTGATTGCCAATCGACTGGTTAAGGTATACAGTTTCTTACTAAGAATCTGATTTTGTCATAACGAACTTGAAACAAGAAGGTGAACTTCAATGGAACTCTCTCTACCAGTTGAAGGATACACAAATTAGCAGAATGATACATCAAGATTATTTGAACTGACAATTGTAGGCCCAGCAGAGTAATCAAATTCCTCAGAGATAGGTTTCTGCATTGTTGAAGCTGATGCTAAAGTATGCATCTTCGTATCATCAATCACTTGGACATATAAATGCTTGTTGGAACGGAAAACACAGAGTCTTGGCCTTTCAGGGGTACCCTCGACCTGCACAGAAGAAATAGAATGATAATATAAAACAAGTCTTCATAAGAAATTGCAATCAGAAGACAGTAAACTGTGAGATTTTTCTTAAACAGTACTTTAACTGATAGAGACTGACGATGGATAACAAAAGTGTGAACAACATAAAAGGTAGAGCTTTAGGTCCACATAATTAAAGCCATTCAGTCCACTTCTAAAAAATACAACACAGCCATTGTTCTTTAATTTGCTCATGAAATTAGAAATAAATATAAACAAAATCAAAGATAGCTAGGGAGAAGTAATTTAATCCTTGGGGGTAATTAATCATGATCCATGATATGACAGAATCATGTAGCTACCAAGTAGGAAGTGGTTAACACAGGTCAAAAAACCGGACATCATTGTTACTGATGTGTCGTTCCCTTAAGATTTTCTGATAATGCAATTCCCTACATCTAGATCTTCTATTTTCTATGGTTCTGATCCTTGATGTCCTCTCAAACTTATATGATGTTAGGGGAGCTATGTACATCATATTGAATCCCAGGAAAATGAAAAGTATCTGTAGACACATTTCCACAGGCTAAAAAAAACGTGTAATTAGAGATCTGTGATACCATTAGCAAATGTTAACTAAGTAACTATAACAACCAATTTTAAACAGGCAGAGGTGATTAAAATCAGTGAAACTCGAAACTTCCGCTCTCTGGTTGAAATTGACTGAATTGTTGGAATGTGGAAATGATGTACCAATCAAAATGTTACTAGGACAAAAAAACATTACCTTCAGTACAATCGCATCCAAGAGTAAACCATGAGTTTAACAAAATATGCAAGCTACGAACTAACTTAACTTAAGAAACTATCAGCTATATAATTTCTTAGATGCATTAATGAAACATGGGTCAAAATGCAGGATAAGTATATGACAAAAAAAAGAGCTCGATAATGAAACGTTTCATATGGGCAACACTATTTGCAGAAATATGGCTGAAACTAAATAAAATAAATTGAGATAGCCAGGTAAGTTAAAATACAGGACAAAGATAAAAACACCTAGTCAATGGGGGCGTCAACTATGTGCTGTCGAAAAGAGAATCTTACAGAAAGAGATCAACTACTGAAAGTTTTCGTATGGGCAACACAATTGCAGATACCCCCTTAGAAAATTTATTGAACTATGGGTCAAACTACAGGATAAATTGAGATACCCAGGTGTTAATTTTTAGTTAAGAGCAGATGAAAACTATCAAGAAAAGGGATTGAAAATTGAAAATTTTAAAACAGGCATACCTTCTTTCTTATTCTCTGGTGGCGAGCAGTTCGGCTCTCTTGGCGAGTGGTGGCCTTGGCCTCAATGGAGAATGAGGGAGCATTGGGTTTGGGAATTGATAGGCGCTGAGCAAAAGGGAAAGCGGAAGAGATTGATTTTGAGGAAGAGAGGAGAGAGAAAGCTGATGGAGATGTTGTAATTGTTGATGATGGTGATGACAATGAAGCTAACATTGTTTCTCCCTTCTTTGCTCTCTCTCTCTCTCTCTGGGTTTTGGGAGATCAGGCTCCTTATCCTATTTCATGCCTCCCTTTGTTTCTTTTCTTTTGTTTGAACTGCAATTTTCTTTACTTTTATGCCCCTGCATTTGCATATACTGTACGAATGTTGAAGGGGGTGTTTGGTTGCATTGTTTTTGAGAAATGTTTTCTCAAAAGTACTGACGCATGGCATTTATGTAATTAAGAGTTTTCTATACATTTCTATAAACTGTGTTTGGCTCCAAAAAAATTTACAGAAATGTTTTCTGTAAAGTGCCCAAAAGTACGAAATTTTATGGAAATTGATTTCCTTCTAAAATGGGAGGAAATCTCTTGGAAATCTGACGCATTCATTATTTAAATAATAAAACTCATTAACTTTTTTCTACAAAGTTCTCACTTTTCTATAAAGTTGGTGGTGTTTGGTTACATTTTTATAAATTATAAGAAATGTTGCTATTTTCCCAAAAGTTATTTCTCATTTTCTTGTTTTGAACCAAACAAGCACAATATAAAAAATAAGAAAATTTGTACTTTTTAACTTCTTAAAACTTTTCCTATAATTTTTTAAGAAATACAAGGAAATCAAATTTGGGATGGAAAACATTTCCTATAATTTATAGAAATGTAACCAAACACCCCCTTTCAACTACCCAAAGCTTACACAATTTCAAACTTTGATACCCCAAGTTTTATTATTATTATTTTTTTAATTTAATTTTGCTCAATGAATACCTCAAAGTTCAAAAACGTTTTACCTTTGATACCCCTGATAAATTATTTAGAAATGTTAGGGACACACCCACAACCACAATCTCAACCACACCTCTACTCTCTCTATAGTGCATTGGGACCCACATGAAATTTTAAAAATAAAATTTCATGTGGGTCCCAATGCACTATAGAGAGAGTAGAGGTGTGGTTTGAATTGTGGTTGAGGGTGTGTACCTAACACCCCTCTAAATTATTTTAAGGTATGAAAGTTTAACGTTTCAGAACTTTCGGGTATTTCTCAAGCAAAAGGAAACATTGGGGTGGGTGTCAAAGTTAAAACTGGTGCAAACAGTGGGAAATTTAGACCCCTTTAGTTAAGTATTTCTACATTTTCTTCGCTTTTTTTACTTTTGTTTTCAAAAGGCTCTGTTTCCATTCAGAATCTAACATTTTTTATATTTCAACACTCAAACGTCTAAGATGACATTTTTCAACATTTTATTATATCTGCATTATATTATGAACCAATTAATACATTCGTTGCCATTGTATATCTCAAGCAATGAATTATGAACTGCAAGAACAAAGAAAAAAGAAACTAGCTGTGGAGGTTGATATGCGTTTATTTTCTTGATAAATTACATATTAAGAATACAATAGACATATTTACTGGGAGGTCTTTTAGGGGCTGTTTGCTTGCCAAAAAGAAGAAGGAAATCAAGGAATAGGAAACCTATTTCCTTAAAAAATTGTTTTATGGTTGTTTGGTTGGCTAAAAAAAGAAGGAAATCAAATAATAGGAGATGAGTTGTCACAATATTATTGGATGATGTGGGTATTTTTTTAAGAAAAGTTGTTTTGAGGTTGTTTGGTTGGTTAAAAAAGAAGGAAATCAAAGAATAGGAAACATATTTCTTATAAATAGGTTCTTCTCTTGTGTTTGGTTCATTCTTAAAAATAGGAGATGAGATGAGATGAGATGAGTTGTCATTATATTATTGGATGATGTGACCCACACTTAAGGAAATCAATTTCCTTGTTTTTTTGGAGGAAATGGGTGGAGATGAAATGGAGATGAGATGAGATGAGTTGTCACAATATTATTGGATGATGTGGATGATTTTTAAAGATGGGATGGAGATGAGATGAGTTGGATGATGTGACCCGTTTCTTTTATTTGGTTTATTTTATTGGATGGTTGGATGATGTGACCCGTTTCTTTTATTTGGTTTATTTTATTGGATGATATGAGATGAGTTGTTGGATAAAAATAATATTTTATTGGATGATGTGGGTTGTTGGATAAAAATAATATTTTATTGGATGATGTGGATGAGTTGTTGGATGAAAATAATATTTTATTAGATGTTATGGGTTAGTTTTAGGGATGGAAATGGTGGAAATTGAAATTTTGAAGATTTCCAAGCTCCAATTTCCTATTCTTGGGTTTTTGGAAACCAACCAAACAGCCCCTTAGTGAAACCTTTTCTTTGTTGAAGGTGACTTTCCCTTTGTTTTCATGAAGGAAGCAGAAAGTATGTTTCATGTTTGAGCAGAAAAAACTTTCAAGAATGGCAATGTCTGTTGCAGGAAGTACCATCCTAATACAATTTCTAAGCTTTTGATACATAACAACTTGATGGAGTAGTAAATGTTGGGGATGCATAACCCCCCTGATGCGATTTGGAAATAGAGATTTAGGAGAGAAGAGAGAATTCAATCAATCACAAACACACAAGATTTACGTGGTTCGCTTCTCAATGTGAGAAACTACGTCCACGGCTGCCGCAGGAGAAAATTTCACTATTTTCGTCTATATACATCATGCCCTAATTAACCCTTTTATAGACTTAAGGGTTTTACAAATAGAAAAGAAAACAGGCCAAAAACTGTAACTGGGCCAAAACCAGACTCGCGGTCGACCGCCGCGCCACGCGAGGTCGACCGTGACGAATCCTTCTCCTAATCA